CAGCGAGTATAAGAAATATTGCCGGAACAACCGTGGGAATCTTCAAGAGAAAACTAGAAAGTTTTCTTCAAGGAGTGCCGGACCAACCGGGCTGTGGTGGATATGAGGGCACTTATTTCACCGTTTTCTTGACGTTAGGAAGCCTTAGAAGGACATGGAGCTGAATCTTAAACAACAATGATGCTTATATTGCTGCAGTGAGGCAGGAAGCTCTATGCTCTCTGCGGAACAATTGACCTCTGAAACTGTCTAACTATCCTGTTCAAGGATTTATATATATACACACTGATACTTCCATGAGGGCATAGAAATGTCATTAAATCAATTGTCATAGAGACATAGAGATGTCAATTAATAGTGAGAAATACTTCTCAGCTACACAATTCAAATCAGAAGTTCATCAGACGACTTCCGAAACTTTTCTCAAGCGACCAAATCCATCCCTAACCTGGCTGACCGCCGGCCATTTTGACGGTCAAGAGGACTATGGTCTTCAGCCAATGTTTTGGGTCACTTGTTTAACAAGAATTCTTTAGTGTTCAGAAAGTTTTATGTCGTCCGCATCAGTGAAACACTTTATTCTCTTTTGACTTTAAAAGCATAAGACAATAAAGCTCAAAGTTACAGGCTTTATATTTAGTGGTAGTTAGTGTGTTGTTAGTGGCTGTTAGCGCTTATAATAATAATAATAATAATAATAATAATAATAATAATAATAATAATAATAATAATAATAATAATAATAATAAGGAGAAAATCAGAAAACTTGAGAAAGATTCGAACTTATGTTCTGGGTACACCCAAGAGCACAGGTTCGAACCCTCCTCAAGACTCCTACTCATTTTCTCACTGACACTGAGAGAGGCGGGACCAAAGAGCCAAAGCTCAACCCCCGCAAGCACAACTAGGTGAGTACATCCCATTATTGTATTTCTTCATCCAATAATAATAATAATAAATAATAATTTGATGATTGCTGTTGCTAATTACGAAAACTGACCTACCACATCGGGACGAGGGGGCAAGTTAACTAAGCAGTTACGAACGAACGTCAACAACAGTTGATTGACAGTTGAGAGGCGGGCCGAAAGAGCAACGCTCAACCCCCGCAAGCACAACAACTAGGTAAATACATCTTTCCTCAACCGCCAAAGATTGAGGAAAGGTGTGCAGGTTCCTAAGTGTTTGCGTAACTGCTTCGTGAATCTGGCCCCTGGATTCACGAAGCAGTTACGCAAGCACTTACGAACTTGTACATCTTTTGTACAATATCTGGCAGGTTTGTTTACAATTATTAAGCAGTGTACAATGAGCTGCGAGGCGTCAGGACGTTGTTGATAACAATAACAACATTTGCTTGGGAAGTTCCGACGCTCGTCAGCTGTTTAATGTCAACAAAGCCGCCAAAGATTGAGAAAGCTGTATATAGAGTCGTAGGTAGTTGCGTAACTGCTTGTTCAATCCTGGCAGTTTGACTGGTCCTTGAGGCTGTTAATAATATACTTCAACACATGCATTACATCAGATTAGTGTTGCTGGTCTAGTAGGTACAGTATTTATGTATTTTAAAAATGTGCAAGTTATTCTCAGGGTTGCTAGTTAAGGATATTTGGCACCATCGCTAACGCGTCATTTACACAGGTGCCGTCTCTTCCGAGGAGGAAGGTCGAGACAGTTAACAGCGTCATTCACCACCAAGTCCAGTAGTTAACAAGCGTCGTATCATGTGCTCCAGAAGTTCCTGACGTGATCCAAGGTGTAATAGGGCATGAACCCGAGCAAGGAGGTACAAATAGCTCTCATTTGTTGGTTGTAGCGGCACCGCCGCTGAGGGAGCGCGCCAAGCCAGCGTTCGTCAGTCAGTAATCCAGTTTGGGCCTCGGCGTTCGTGTGGTGGATCCAGCTTGAGAAGCAGCTAAGTGTATTATTATTATATATATTAAATTAATTATCTTAATAAAATTAATGTTTAAAGTAGTTTTATGATTATTGTGCAAAGAAATCGCGTCCACGTGATAAATCAATGAGGAAATGAGTGGAAACTATGTGATGAGGATGAGTTCCCAGCGTGTACAGGGTCGAAGCCTCATCTGGGCTTCTATACTGATTTTCTCATTATGATTAAAATTGTAATTCCAGTTACAATTGTCTCATTGTTGTTATTATTAATATGAAGGACCGAGAGATGCAGTTTTTGGGCAGGTGTATATCGGGGCTTAGTGTCCCCGCGGCCCGGTCCTCGACCAGGACTCCTTTTTGTCACACATTCCCCAGGAAGCAGCCCGTAGCAGCTGTCTAACTCCCAGGTACTTATTTACTGCTATGTAACAGGGGCATCAGGGTGAAAGAAACTCTGCCCGTTTCCGCCTCCCCCAAGGATCGAACCTGGAACCTCAGGACTATGAATCCCATGTGCTGTCCACTCAGCTGTCAGGCCCCTGGTGTTGGTGATGACGGTGGGGAAAATCTGTCTGTATCTGTCTAATAGCGTTGTCTGACTATTTCTAAATTTCTGTAACCCGTTGTTTTGACGGCGTGTTGACGAGCACTTTAGGTCCTGTCAACCGCCTATTACATGACCTGTCAACCGCCTGTTACATGACCTGTCAACCACCTGTTACATGACCTGTCAACCGCCTGTTACATGACCTGTCAACCGCCTGTTACATGACCTGTCAACCGCCTGTTACATGACCTGTCAACCGCCTGTTACATGACCTGTCAACCGCCTGTTACATGACCTGTCAACCACCTGTTACATGACCTGTCAACCGCCTGCTACATGACCTGTCAACCACCTGTTACATGACCTGTCAACCACCTGTTACATGACCTGTCAACCACCTGTTACATGACCTGTCAACCACCTGTTACATGACCTGTGTGCTCAAACAGGGTGGTTGATCAAGCCGACCTCCCCCCCACCACCCTCCTCTCCATGTCCTCTATTGAAGAAAAGTCTTTTTCTTTTAAATGTCCTCTTGCCCCAATACGTCACATTTATGTCGGAGTCGACCAATCCCTTAATAAATGGGACGTGTTCTTACAAATTAAAGCGCCATAATACTGACGTTTTGATATGCATACGCCACGATGAGGTTGGGGGGGTTGGTTGGGTTCGTAAGCTTCTGGTTAGGCCCAAATAGTTGAAGTTTTTTCGGAGTGGAAATTGAGAAAAAGGTTTGGATGTATAGGCTTCGTTGAATCTATAATTTAGTGATTGGTAGTAGATTGGCAGTTCGGGGTACGAGGTTTGGGTGGTTATAGGCGGTCATAGGCATTAGTTATAGGCGGCTTGGGGTCGTCCCCCAATGCAATTAACATTAGATATTTTGTATTTTTAATTTAATATTTAATCTCGCTAAGGTCTATCCAGGGTATTATTTCCTTCAAGCTCCCAGGCTCTCCCGCTACACTCCCAGGCTCTCCCGCTATACTCCCAGGCTCTCTCGCTACACTCCCAGGCTCTCTCGCGACACTCCCAGGCTCTCTCGCTACACTCCCAGGCTCTGCCGCTACACTCCCAGGCTCTCTTGCTACACTCCCAGGCTCTCTCGCTACACTCCCAGGCTCTCTCGCTACACTCCCAGGCTCTCTTGCTACACTCCCAGGCTCTCTTGCTACACTTCCAGGCTCTCTCGCTACACTCCCAGGCTCTCTCGCTACACTCCCAGGCTCTCTCGCTACACTCCCAGGCTCTTTCGCTACACTCCCAGGCTCTCTCGCTACACTCCCAGGCTCTCTCGCTACACTCCCAGGCTCTCTCGCTATGCGTTGTAAATAACAAATATAATTTAATGTACTATAAAAAGTCAAATTTTCTTTTACATTTTTCTTTTTGAATACAAATATAGTTTTAAGTTTATTATATTTAATTACAGGCAATAAAAAAGTTTATCAGAAATAGCATAAAAATGTTAATTTTTTTGCAATTTCCTTTTATCTATATATATTAAGGTAAACCTAATAATTAGCAAATGATAATACAAGTATTCATTAATAAGCTTTATAGAAAGATTTAATAAATTAAATTCTGCGTGCAGTATTGAGTTGATACTGATTGGAGGGTCAATTAAAATTTTGCAAAAAATATATATTTAAGATTATTACAGTAGGTTTTAATGACGAGGTTTAAAGGCTATCGTCGTCTGATCAACGTGTCCTCTTTCGAGGACCTTCACATATTGCTCGTTTGCGTTAATTTATGTCAAAAATTGTCGTACAAGAAAATGGAGGAGATTCGCGAACGTGACGTTCTGTCCCGTTTTCTGTTATGGATCCTCTGGTAGGTTAAGAGAGGACACTAATTTTACCGTTTTCTTGAGGTTAGGAAGTCATAGAAGGACCGGCTGTTGCAACACCTCCAGCAGGACGTTAATTTGGCCTCCTTTTTCTTCGGGGGGGGGGGGGGGGGGGGGGCTTTTCTAAAAGGAAATTACCTTACGTATAATAAAACAGCTCTGGGGACTGAAGGCTTACAATAACCATTGACAAAGTTGCCGTTGGCAACACTACGCTGAGGGAGGGGGGGGGGTGGCACTCTCGCGAATACAATAACAAATTAGGAATTTGAGAACAATTTAATTTCGAAAATCTTCAAATTCCACCGTTACTGAGGTAACATGGGACCTGCTCTCAGAATGTCGGTTAACTCTCTCACTCCCATGTTCTCGCGCTACACTCCCAGGTGAACAGCATGGGTGCCATAAGCACAATCAGAGAACACTGTATAAACATCAGAGATCCACAGATGTTCAACATCCTCCCAGCGAGTATAAGAAATGTTGCAGGGACAACCGTGGACATCTTAGAGAAAACTAAATAGTTTTCTTCAAGAAATGCCGGATCAACCGGGCTGTGGTGGATATGTGGGCCTGTGGGCAGCTCCAAGCAACAGACTGGTGGACCAAGCAATCTTGATCCTTGATGGAGAATCTTGGGGAGTTGAAGAATTCCTAGAACCCCATCAAGCTGGTATCAAGCAGATTCTCTTGCTACACTCTGAGACTCTCTCGCTCCGCTCCCATGTTCTCTTGCTCCGCTCCCATGTTCTCTCGCTCCGCTCCCATGTTCTCTCGCTCCGCTCCCATGTTCTCTCGCTCCGCTTCCATGTTCTCTCGCTCCGCTTCCATGTTCTCTCGCTACACTCCCAGGCTCTCTCACTATGCTCACAGCCTCCCTCGCTAGGCTCCCATGTTTTTTTTCGCTATTCTACCAGGCTCTTTCGTTATTCTCCCATCTTCTCTTGCTATGCTCCCAGGTTCTCTCGCTTCGCTCCCATGTTCTCTTGCTATGCTTCCAGGCTGTATAGCTATGCTCCTAGGCTCCCTTGCTACGCTCCCATGTTCTCATGCTATGCTACCAGGCTCTCTCTTTACGCTCCCAGGTTTTCTAGCTATGCGTCGTAAATAACCAATATAATTTAGTTTACTATAAAAAGTAATTTTTTCTATATTTTTTTCCTTTTTTATTGTGAATATTATTTCATGCTAATTATATATAATTATAAGCTATTAAAGTGAAATAGAATTAATAAAAAAATATAATATATAAAAATATAAGAAATTTGCAAACAATTTATTGTTTACTAAAAACTTTACAATTAATTACACAAACACTTCTTGTCAATTTTTATGAGAAAACTTATTATTTTAAAAAATGAGTGCCGCGTGGTGATGTCATATTTATTACGCCAGTTAAAATTTTTGATACAATGAACATAGTTTATATTACCGAAGATCTTTAAGACAAACTTAAAAGACTTGCGTCGTCAAATCACCTTGACTTCTTCCGAAGAATGTCGCTTCTTCGCTTGTATGATTTACATTAGTCCGGAAATTGTCGTACATGAAAATGAAAGCGACTCGCGAAAGTGACGTACTGTCCTGTTTTCTGTTATGGGTCCTTTGGTATGTTAAGAGAGGACACTAATTTCACCGTTTTCTTGACGTTGGGAAGCCTTAGAAGGACGGGCTGCTGCAACACCTTCAGCAGGACGTAAATTTGGCCGCTTTGATTTTTTTTAGGGGGGTGTAGGGGGGGGGGGGGAACTTGTCTAAAAGGAAATTACCTTACGTATTTTTCAACAGCTCTGGGTATTAAAGGCTCACAGTAACAATTGACGTAGTTGCCGTTGGCAACACTACCCTGGGGGGGGGGGGGGAAACACTCGCAGATACAAGAACAATTTTCAATTATATTGCTCTCAAATTCCCAATTTAATTTTGAAACATCTTCAAATTCCACCGTTACTGAGGTAACATGGGACCTGCTCCCAGAATGTCGAGGAACTCTCTCACTCCCATGTTCTCACGCTACGCTCCCAGGTGAACAGCATGGATGCCATAAGCACAATCAGAGAACATCAGATGTCCACGGTTGTTCAACATCCTCCCAGCAAGTATGAGAAACGTTGCAGGAACAACCGTAGACATCTGCAAGAGAAAACCAACACTACGCGGGGGGGGAGGGGGGGGGCGGCAGTGTAGAAACGAGTATTAACTTTCAATTTTATCATCGTAAAACATGTTTGATTTAGGTTAAATCTTAGGAACTTTAGTCCGTAATTTGTTAGGTGATAGAATTTGGTCATGTGCGTATTTATTTATTTTTTGTTTACACTAGAGTTCTTACATTATTGTAGCATTTTGATTATAATGAAGTAAAAGAGAGATAAAGATTGTCTGTTAGGTTGTCTCTATGAGGCTGGAGTCCAGATACTTAGTGCTATCCTAACCCAATTTTGTAAAATGGTTAAGGGCCGTGATGAGGGTTCGAACCTACGTCCGGGTTAGTTAATTAACTGGAAAGTTACAGGGTTAGGGAGACGGGGATAGAGGCTACACTTGGATAGTAAAATAGATGAAAGAGACCCTCCCCCTCTATCCCCCCTCCACTCCCCCCAGTAATAATATAGGGCGACATTCAATTTAAGCAACAGCCTATAACCGGCCAAATTAAACTGCCTAATATTATAGTTCCATTAAATTTGCATATATACTCAATATTAAATTTTGTCACAGACTTCCCTTAGCAACGTCTTAAATTAAGCAACAAGTCTCTTTAATCATTTAGGCCAAAGGAACATATGCAAACTCAGCACGCGGTGTTGTCATAAAGTTATGGTAAGGTCTATAAGACCTGTTTATACCAGCAACACCGTCCCCTTAACTCTCCATCTGTCCCTCAGCGTCCTAAATACACATACACACTCACATGCCTATGGTGTATGTGTATGTATGCCTATATACACATACACATGCCTATGGTGTATTTTAGTGTTCATCTGCCCTTACAAGTACCTATAGTGTGTGTGTGTGTGTGAAGTACATATATAATCCTGTTTTAGCACACTGTATTGGAAAAAAATCCGGTTTTAGCACACTGTACTGGAAGAAAATCCGGTTTTAGCACACTGTACGGGAAGAAAATCCTGTTTTAATACGCTGTACTGGAAGAAAATCCGGTTTTAGCACACTGTACTGGAAAAAAAATCCTGTTTTAACACACTGTACTGGAAGAAAATAAAAATCCCAAAATTCTTGACCGAAGGATCTCAGACTTACAAAGGTAGAAACATTAGTTTACCAGAAAGATCGCAAATGGGTCTGGTTCTCTGGGGATCGTCCCAGGGGGGAAGGTCCTGGGGAAGAACCGGTTCATTTTAAACCCCGAAACTGAATTATCCGCCTACACGCTACTCTTGGTTTTATCGACTCTCTGGTGAAGAGCGGAAGTCGGGGAGCGGGAAGAAATGTTTTCTCGGCATTCCGGGTTACAGTGTGATGAATTGGTCAGGTCATCTCCATCTCAGGTTCCCATTTTGGGGAGCATGAGACCGCCAGGAGGCTGGACGCGAGGCATCAGTGATGCTGTTGGGTTTCAGGCAAGTGGATGATGCAGCATTTCGTGGTGTCAGTGGTGCAAGGAATAATTCTTTGGTGGGAACATGAGTGGATTGTGGTTGAACTGTGACTGGGTTGTTCTCTCGCGAGTGTGAGAGTGATTGATGGATGTGTGTGTGTGTACTCACCTAGTTGTACTCACCTAGTTGTGTCTGCAGGATCGAGCATTGACTCTTAGATCCCGCCTTTCGAGCATCGGTTGTTTACAGCAATGACTCCTGTCCCATTTCCCTATCATACCTGGTTTTAAAATTATGAATAGTATTTGCTTCCACAACCTGTTCCTGAAGTGCATTCCATTTTCCCACTACTCTCACGCTAAAAGAAAACTTCCTAACATCTCTGTGACTCGTCTGAGTTTCAAGCTTCCACCTATGTCCCCTCGTTCTGTTACTATTCCGTGTGAACATTTCGTCTATGTCCACTCTGTCAATCCCTCTGAGTATCTTATACGTTCCTATCATGTCCCCCCCTCTCCCTTCTTCTTTCTAGTGTCGTAAGGCATAGTTCCCTCAGGCGCTCCTCATACCCCATCCCTCGTAGCTCTGGGACGAGTCTCGTTGCAAACCTCTGAACCTTTTCCAGTTTCATTATATGCTTCTTCAGATGGGGACTCCATGATGAGGCGGCATACTCTATGACTGGCCTCACGTAGGCAGTGTAAAGCGCCCTAAATGCCTCCTTACTTAGGTTTCTGAATGATGTTCTAACTTTTGCCAGTGTAGAGTACGCTGCTGTCGTTATCCTATTTATATGTGCCTCAGGAGATAGATTAGGTGTTACGTCCACACCCAGGTCTCTTTCGCGCGTCGTCACAGGTAGGCTGTTCCCCCTTCATTGTGTACTGTCCCTTTGGTCTCCTATCTCCTAGTCCCATTTCCATAACTTTACATTTGCTCGTGTTGAATTCCAGTGGCCATTTCTCTGACCATCTCTGCAACCTGTTCAGGTCCTCTTGGAGGATCCTGCAATCCTCATCTGTCACAACTCTTCTCGTCAACTTTGCGTCATCCGCAAACATCGACATGTAGGACTCTACGCCTGTAAACATGTCGTAAACATATACAAGAAATAGAATTGGTCCCAGCACCGATCCTTGTGGTACTCCACTTGTTACTGTTCGGCAGTCCGGCTTCTCGCCCCTTACCGTAACTCTTTGGCTCCTTCCAGTTAGGTAGTTCCTTATCCATGCTAGGACCTTTCCCCCCACCCCCGCCTGCCTCTCGAGCTTGAACAGCAGTCTCATGTGCGGTACTGTATCAAAGGCTTTTTGGCAGTGCAGAAATATGCAGTCTGCGCAACCATCTCTGTCCTGTCTTATCCTCGTTACTTTATCATAGTGTGTGTGTGTGTGTGTGTGTGTGTGTATGGCTACATGTATATACACAGACACAAACACACAAGGGGTGACAAAAGTGGGGGGGGAGGAAGGGGTTAATTAAAAACAGGTGTAGGTATCCTGTGTGCTCACTGAGGGCCATCAATAGGGGCCGCGAACCTCCGGGATATTGATGCGTGTACCTGTGTTATTGCTCCAAAGTCCTGTCACTGTGGCTGTTGGTATTAACCTCCTGTCCACACAGAATGACCTATATATATATTGTTAGCTGAGAGTGCGTGCTTGTTTTTGCGTGTGTGTGTTGGGGGGGGGGGTACATGTTTGTGTGCTTGCGTGTCTGCTTTCCAAACTGTCTTCCAATACAGATATATATGGATTTCAACGGAATTTGGATAGCAGAAATCCATAGTTATCCAAGCTAGGTAGTCGCAGTCATGGGGTTAAGAGTTTACATCGTCTGACAGACTGACCCCCTGACAGACTGACCGTCTGACAGACTGACCGTCTGACAGACTGACCGTCTGACAGACTGACCCCCTGACAGATTGACCCCCTGACAGATTGTCCCCCTGACAGACTGTCCCATGACAGACTGACCCCCTGTTACATTTGTCTCATTGCTATTATTAATATTTATATGAAGGATAACGGGGAGGGGGGGGGGGCAGGATCTGTCTGTGCCTTTCTGTCTATTTCTAAATTTCTGTCACCCGTTGTTTTGACGGCTTATTGACGGGCACTTTAAGTCCTGTCAACCGCCTGTTACATGACCTGTGTGCTCAAACAGGGTGGTTGATCCACGCCCACACCCCTGGAACCCCCTGTGTCCTCTGTTGAAGAAAAGTCTTTTTCTTTTAAATGTCAACTTCTTGTGCTTAGTCCTCTTGCC